GTGTCACATGTCCGCATCTTTCGAACCATCATCAGTCATCTGGAAAGTTTCTGTAGTCATTGTGATATAAAAAGTGTAAATGCAGTTGTTTGACAATAGGCCCCTATCATAAACGTCACACCACGTGCGCTTCGAGCCGGATATCTTTACTACCTATTCCAGCAAGATGGAGTTCATACAGTGTCTTGCTCACCTTCCCAAAATACGACTAAGTGATGTACAACGTTTTGTTGATAACTTGTCCCTCACAAAACGCTCTAAGCTTGACTAGGGATATAAATTCTTCCATGATAGTTATTTTATTGTTAGTATAATAGCTAGCATAAAGATAATGTTGGTTTCTCTTTGAAATGCTGTTAAACTGACAACAAAACAATGAAGTTTTTGTTTACGCTATGCTAGCTATGAGATGGGATGTTTTGTTAGATAAACGTATTAAAAGTTAATGATGTGCTGGTTTTTGGAACAACAAAGAACACTGCAGTTGCACTCTGAGATGACTGCACCATTATTTAAAAAAACACCAGCATATAAAGAATAAGTTACTAATACACGGCTTTAATGTGGATAGTTAGACAGAATATAACTCCTGGAAGAAGTGAGCAATAACGTTACATTAATATAAAGTTAATATAACGTTCTGCAACGTTTTAAAGAACGCTAACTTGCCTAGATAATTCCATCTCAAAACTATACAAATGTAAGAAACTACAAATACGCAAGGATTATTATTGAAAAAGTTGACATCGCGTTTTGTTTACGCTCCCACTCTTATCCAGTAGCCACAACCGTAACGGAAGTGCGTTTACAAAACTTTACCGAAAGGTGGAACATCACTGTGAAAAGGGCCTATTGTGAGACAGAGCGGATACTAGGGGTGTAACGGTTTACGGTATGTATTGAACCGTTTCGGTACGGCCTGTTCGGTTCGGGACACTTGCGTACCGTTTCGGTATTCGGTATTTTTATTAAATGATATAAATGTATTATTAGCGCGATATTAAGCGCAGCGGAACAATGTTCCTAGGCAAGTTTCCGCACGGACGCTATTGAGTGACGAGCACGAGCGCGAGTAGGAAAATAGAATCATATCAAAAGTGAAAGAGAAGACAGAGCTTGAAGACCCTCTCACCTCACTACAATCTCCTGTTTGAGAACACTTTCGCTTCTCTGTTAAAATACATAACGGGGATAGACGAGTGGATAAATTTAAAGTTGTATGCCGACATTGTTCCATGGAGATAGTTTCCGCACGGACGCTATTGAGTGACGAGCGCGAGCGAGAGTAGGAAAATGGAATCATATCAAAAGTGAAAGAGAAACAGAGCTTGAAGACCCTCTCACCTCACTGCGGTCTCCTGTTTGAGAACACTTTCGCTTCTCTGTTAAAAGACATAATGGGGATAGACGAGTGGATAAATTTAAAGTTGTATGCCGACATTCTTCCATGGAGATAGTTTCCGCACGGACGCTATTGAGTGACGAGCGCAAGTAGGAAAATTACATGGCAAAAGCGAAAGGGAAGCCAAAGCTTGAAGACCCTTTCACCTCACTACGGTCTCATGTTTGAGAACACTTTGGCTTCTCTGTTAAAAGACATAACGGGGATAGACGAGTGGATAAATTTAAAGTTGTATGCCGACATTGTTCCACGGAGATAGTTTCCGCACGGACGCTATTGAGTGACGAGCACGAGCGCGAGAAGGAAAATTACATGGCAAAAGCGAAAGGGAAGCCAGAGCTTGAAGACCCGCTCACCTCACTACACTCTCCTGTTTGAGAACACTTTGGCTTCTCTGTTAAAATACATAACGGGGATAGACGAGTGGATAAATTTAAAGTTGTATGCCGACATTGTTCCACGGAGATCGGGCAGGCAACACATCTAACATTTTCTACTGCTGGAGATATTGTCACTGCAACCAGATCTATGCTCTCTTCAGAAAATGTGGATAGGTAATCTATCCTAACTAGTGGCAGTATTTCATTTTTTATTTAAAAAAATGTGTTTTTCTTAATAAAGAGTGCAATTTATTTAAAATATCACCCAAATGTGTCACTTTTATTTATTTTATGCAAGAATTCTATTGTGTATTGGCAGCTTTTCAAAATAAAGATTATGTAAGTTCTTATTGTTTTGTACCGAACCGAATGAACCGAACTAAACTCTCCAAGACACTGTACCGAACCGAATACGATTTTAGCGTACCGTTACACCCCTAGCGGATACATATTGTTTTTAGCGGACTCTTTGAGTTTAATATATTATTAGAGTCAGAGTTTTCTATTAATATTTGTGAATAGAAATGTTCATATTTTGTCCAATTCTGGTCCCACCCCCTTTAAAAGCCAACTTCCAGGATCCTCGAAAGTTCAGCTGAGTCCATGTTTGGACCAAGCCTGCTCAGGCGTACTGAAAGACTTAACTCTCCCTACATACCCACTCTAGTGAGGTATCTGCAAGCAGTGTTATGATCAATATGCAAACACTTTTGTTTATTTCTACACATTTTGTGTTGTACACTGACTGGCACCAGTAAAAGGACTCACTGGAATTCTTTGTGCAGGTCATCCTTCGCCTCTCTTCCTCCTCACACCCAGCCATTAACTATGATTGGGGAATGTTTTGGGGTTTTCATTCATATTTTCTGAAGGGTAAACACACAACTGTGTACATGGTAATATCACAAAAAGTGGTCTAGGGAGCTTTAGCGTGCCTAAAAACATTTCCAAGATCAATGGAGGCCATTGCTCTCCTGCTGTCTGCTTTTGGCTTGTTCTGAGACTCAACCGACCGACAAGGCAGATATTATTTCAATTCATCATGAGTTACTGCACACACAGCGTGTGTTTTGTTTTGCTTTTGTCTCTCAGAATGAATCATAGGGTTATCCGGAGTCATGTGTTTTATTGAAAGTTGGACTGGAGCTAATCCTGTGGAATAACTGTACCGAAAAAAAAATATTCTTCTGAATTATTAATTAATGATGCTCAAGCTGCCGTTAGAACAGGAACATGTCTCCAGGAAGGTGAATCAGGGTGCTGCACAGTGACAGGGTTGAGCACAAAACTTGCGAGCATAATATTAAAAGATAAATGACTCTTTTTTTTTCAAAATAACGAAAGAAACAATAGCAATGCGATGGATGGGAAATACCCTGAAAGGTTTGGTTCTGATCATCAGTCCCTCAACGGTCCATGCAGTTTCATGCCCTACTGTTCTCTTCTGGTACACTAATGAGCAAGCCATGCTACGTCAGTTCAAACAAGTTTTTCAGTAGTCTCAGTAATTATTCTTCAAGTGCTGGGTAATTGGGTGTGCAATTTTGGGTAGGAGTTCATGAGCAAGTCTATTGCGTGTCATTTGCTTTGAAATCTTGCGTGGGAGAAAGGCTGAATCTGAATTGCACAATTGATTAAATGCAAATCGTAGATTGTGTCAGACGTATAGATATTGGCGTCACAGTTATCATCACAATGCTGCACTGCACCTTCTCTCCGAATAAAACCATTTTTATCTCATGCTCTTAGCTGCTGCCTCGCACAGACTCAAGGTCATTATCTCTCACAGAAACACCCGAGGGTGTGAAAGTACACCGCTCTTGTTAATTACAGCAGGCTGTTTTTATATCGTCCATCTTTATTTGAAACCCTTGAGATTTGTTTGCTTTTTGAAGCACACCGGAAATATTTGATACCTGCTAATGAATCTATTAGGGTTCTGAAATACAGATGTTATCCACCCACCTGCTCTCCAATGCTCTTAGGTTCACCCCTATAACAAGTAGAGTTTGGGACGTGTTTAAACGTTTTTCAAAACTCACTACAAAGAGCAAATCAGTCATGAATAAAAGAAACCTTAAAACCTCTCTGCACAGCTCTACACATCTGATGCCATATCTTTGACTTTTTACAAATGCTCTCTGTTTCTATTGGCAACATAACCCAGAGAGAGATCCGGGGTGCTAACTCTTTAGTTAGCAGATACAGTGGCAAGAGAAAATAATAGGGGTGTAACGGTACACTAAAATCGTATTCGGTTCGGTACAGTGTCTTGGAGAGTTCGGTTCGGTACAAAACAATAAGAACTTACATATTCTTTATTTTGAAAAGCCAATACACAATAGAATTCTTGCATAAAATAAATAAAAGTGACACATTTGGGTGATATTTTAAATAAATTGCACTCTTTATAAAGAAAAACACTTTTTTTTAAATAAAAAATGAAATACTGCAACTAGTTAGGATAGTTAGGATAGATTACCTATCCACATTTTCTGAAGAGAGCACAGATCTGGTTGCAGTGACAATATCTCCAGCAGTAGAAAATGTTAGATGTGTTGCCTGCTCGATCTCCGTGGAACAATGTCGGCATACAACTTTACATTTATCCACTCGTCTATCCCCGTTATGTCTTTTAACAGAGAAGCCAAAGTGTTCCCAAACACGGGACCGTAGTGAGGTGGGAGAGTCTTCAAGTTCTGGCTTCTCTTTCTTACTCGTGCTCGTCACTCAATAGCGTCCGTGCGGAAACTCGCCTAGGAACATTGTTCTGCTGCGCTTAATATCAGGCTAATAATAGATTTATATCGTTTAATAAAAATACCGAAACGGTACGCAAGTGTACCGAACCGAACAGGCCGTACCGAAACGGTTCAATACATACCGTGAACCGTTACACCCCTAGAAAATAAGTAATCCTTTTATAATTTCTTTGTCATAAAATGTGATTTTCAACTCAGTCTGGGATCGCGGCAAGCATGATGTGTCTAAAAATAATAATAAAAAAATCAGACCTTTGGTGTTCTCTTGAGAACAACCAATGGCTAATCGCATCTGCCGTTTCCATTGCAGTTGTGCTTGTGCTGTTTTGAATTCACGCATTCCGAGATCTACAAAGAATAGAGCGCACATACAAATATATAAGATATAATTACAGATTTTAAATACTACAATATTATTGTACTTTTTTTGCTTTCATGAGGCTTCACAAAGAGGGAGCTTACCTTAGGCTCAGTCAGTAGAGCATAGCGTCCCTAGCAACGCAAAAGTCATGGGTTCAATCCCCAGGGAAAGCAACAACTGACAAAATGTGAAATCATTTAAAAGCATGTGCACAATGCTTAAATGTAAATGTAGGTACACACCAGTGCTCAGCTGCTGTGCTGTTGGTTCTCTGATAGTGTTTTCACTTGGGGGTGTGGACTACAATGACTTTGACTTTTATATGTAAAGAAACACCTTTGTGAGCTTTGCCTCACCGAAAACATTCACAAAGGGTTCACATACTTTTTCTTGCTAGTTTAAATCTAGAGAATGATTGCATGAAAGGGTGAAAAGGTAGTCATAGGGGTTTCATTATTAGGTGGTTGCCAGGATTTCTGTTTTGGGGCAAGGCAGACATGTTCTGTGACCTGGGTCTGGTGCCATCCATAGGTTAGATGGTGAGGTTTCCCTGCATCCAACAATCATTCTAGTCGATTTTTTTAATTCATTGTATGTAATGCCTCACTGCCGTATGCTTCTGTAAAGCACTGCAAATCATACTTTAAGGAACAGTTTTCACATTGACCGGAGCTTTTTTCTTAAAAAAAAAGAAAAAGAAATCTGTGGCCAAAATAAACATAATCTGATATTTTTGTGAGCTGTTACACACTAATAGCACCAAACCATAGCGTACTGGCTCTGTTATTACTGTACTAATGATATAAATATTTAAACACAACACGAGTGTCCTTACCAGATACGATAAGCAAATCCTACTATTCACATGATAACTCATGCCAAAGGGTGATCTGATGGTGATGGTTTGTAAAACTTCTCGACTGGAGATGTTATGCTCACAGAATGCTTTCGCTTTGTTGATAAGATTTAGGCTGAGATTTCTTGGTCATTTTAGCTGCTAATGCTTAGTAACTAATAGTAAAAGTATTTCTACTCTGGGTTTAACCATGTTATGCATTAATATTGTGATGCAATTTGGATTTATTACGTTCTGATTTGTGAAAATATTGATCCTATTTTGTCCTGTTTGCTCTGTTACAAAAGTAGACTGCATTTGTGAACTCAGTCTGTAGAAACATTTGTATTTAAGAATGTGAGCTAAGCTCGTGTTATTATTAGCCCACGGTGTTCGTAACACCAACCAACAGACTTAACAGCCTCAGAACTCGCTGTGCCTTTTCTTTATCCAGGCTTGCAAACCTCTTACAGCCAGAACAGCCAGTTAGGTCAGGATGCTCGCTCCCCTGACTGCCACGTCACGCCAATCTATGAGGACAGAACCTTCCAGAACCCGCTGTACCAGAGCCCAACACACGGCTCCCAAAGTGCTGCCTCCAGAAACAATACAGGTATGTTCCAGCATCCTTCACGCACCGCTGCCATCTTTCATTTGCCGTTTCCACAATGCTCCTTTAAGAATGAATGCTCTGCTCACTTTTGCTCTCAGGGTTTGGGACTTTACAAAGGACGACAAGTCAGTGTAGCACTCTGAGGTACCAGCGAGGCTTATTCCCAATGGGCACCATGGCAACACACTCTGACACCTACCGTCCTGGCCATTATCGACAGTCTGATCCGAACTACGCCAGACATGCAGCAGTCATCGACAACGCTCTGACACGCTCACCTTCCATCGACAGTGTGCACAAAGACCCGAGGTGAAGAGCCAAGCGCAGTGATTTCTTCCTCGTCATCTTATTCCAAAAAAACTTTGAGTGAATGAAGAATGTTTGATTTGGATATGCAAATGCAGTGGTCATTTTTTAAGCATTTTATGGTTCCTGTCGGGCAGGGAGTTCGCCTGGAGGGACCCAGAGCTGCCAGAAGTGATCCGTATGCTGCAGCATCATTTCCCTTCCGTGCAGGCCAACGCTGCAGCCTACATCCAGCACCTCTGCTACGGAGACAACCGCACCAAGGCTGAGGTGTGAACATGCGCACACTAATAATCCTTCACACACCTGGTTTTGTCAAGTCAATTCCTTGAACGAAGGATGTTGATGTGGTGTTTTACTTTTCCAAATGTGTTGAGCGCGTGTTTTTTTAATAAATAAACACAGAGATTACTGTCACATTGATATAGTGTCTTTAGCAAACTGTAACATGATCTTGGTCTCAAAGGATATAATCAAACAATTATATGTGCTATTTTACATCACAGGCTTCACGCCACAGTAATCACGCCTGAGCCCTAGAGCCAGATCCCGTCAGAGTATCTGCCCCACACATGTAAAATAGCTCAATGTTCTTCATGTTTATTGATGGGATTTACATATTGCCATTTGTGAACAAAACACACAAAGAGTCTGGCATAGACATAATTCACAACTCCTAGACATCGTAAACCGTGGCTTTATGTAATCAATGGAATATTTCAGATTTGGAGCTATTTTCTAATTGGTTCAGTTGCTCCCACTCACGCTTCACATCATCAGAACCAAAAAGGTTTATCTTGGTCTCAACAGACCACACACATGGCTCCAGTAATCCTGGTCCTTTAGTTTGAATGTCTGCAGCAGTAGTTTGTTTGGAGGTTTCTTGTGCTTTGTATCTTTAGAAGAGACGACAACTACGCAGAGCAATCTGAAGTACTGAGCATGGTTTGAGCTCTGACCGGCTGACCTCCATCCCTTCCATCTCTGCAGCAATGCTGGAAGCATTTTTCCGTCTGTTTTTAAAGCCAAAGGATTTGATGCTAAGGATGTGCACTCAGCTTCATCTACAGTGGAACACTAACAAGTCATGTGACACACGGGAAGGAGAATTACCAATTTTGCTCATTTTGTAGGCCATTTCACTCCGGGGTGCACTCAAATTTGTTGACACGGGTTCAGCTATTATTTAGTGTTATTTTGAGAGATCAATAATCTACACTGCTATAGAACACAGACCACTTTTCATCGAAGAGTCATTTCTGTAGTATTGTTCTATGAAGAGATCAAGTGGATTTTCTGCATATATACATAAAATTATTATTTTTTTTTCTTGTCACCCTTAAAAGAAATGTTTAGTTAGTAATTATTAGTATATTAATTAGTAGTGTTTTACCATTTTGGATTCTATTCGGTCGTTTCAGGGTCTGGTGATGACACCTTTAGCCAAGCTTCAGTAGCGCTTCGTTTATAACATGACTCTCCTACAGTACTGTACCGTACACAATGTGAACTAAACACTTCTCTATGGCCATACAGCTCCCTCACAGACTCCACAAGGTCTGCAGTGATTTGTACAGTGTTACTTCCCATCTCTGTGGATTGGTTTTGCAGTCTTCGTTATGTTCTTAGGCTCAGCGTACGCAGTAAAATCCACAGACCGACAATAGTTTGCCCGTGTAATAAACCAGTCTCTTCCGGTGCTTGTTCAGGTGTGTCGTCTAGGTGGCATCCGGCACCTGGTGGACCTTCTTGATCATAAAACCCTAGAAGTCCAGCGGAACGCCTGTGGAGCGCTGCGTAACTTGGTGTACGGGAAAGCCACAGACGATAATAAAGTGTGCGTCAGGAACTCTGGAGGAATCCCAGCCCTGGTTCGTCTGCTGAGGAAGACTCCAGACTCTGAAGTGCGAGAGCTGGTAACCGGTGAGTGGGCTTGTGACAGGCAGACGTGAGCGAGTGTCTGACTTCTTTCTCTTCCGGTCTTCCTCGTCTCTCTTTCACTGCTGTGGGGAGATCTGTTTGTGCAGGAAGCTCGATTCAGAGATTATACTCGGTGGAAGTCGTGGCTGTGATTAATGTGGAGAGACAGAGTATTTGATTGAATCTGAACTGACACAAGCATACACACGCACACACACGCACACACACGGATGCCTGGTGTCATTTTCTCAAACAGATGCAGGGGTTTGTTCTGAAAAACTGAGACTCACAGAGATTTCATCATAATGATCTCCAGCGCTTCTGTCATCTCATCACAGGACACCTCTGAATATTCCACTTTTTTTCTTTCTAATGAGCTGCATTTAATGATCAAGTTGGGGTTTTACTCCTGATTGAACTGGAAAGGAGCTCTTCTAATGACTACTATCAAAGTGACATTAGGACCGAGTATGGAGTGACCCCCATACAAGGAGTTTGTGCTCTGCATTTAACCCGTCCAATTGAGTGAACACACACCCAGAGCAGTGGGGAGCTGTGGGGAACTGGTGACTTGCTCAAGGCCACCATAGTAATGGTTGGATCAGGTGGGAGAGAGCTTCAACACTCATCCAGTGGAGCTCCCGGTGACCTTTTGATCTCCAGTCAATCACCTTATCCACTACTGCCACCACGCTCTTGTCTACTCTACGCTACTTTGGCTTTAACAGGAAGAAATTTGAGAACATTGGCATGTTTAATGGGAAATTAATAAAATCAAACAAAAGACAATCCAAGATAAGTACAACAAAAACAGCTATTCGTGATGTAAATAATAAATTGATTAAGCTCTCTTAATTACAATTAGATGAAAGTTATCTGAGCTTACTAACTTTTCACGATCATGCAAAGAAACCGTTTTGTTTAGAGCATTTGAAATGAACAATCTGGCTCTGGTTTGACAGGAGTGCTGTGGAACCTCTCCTCGTGTGATTCGGTGAAGATGACGATCACTCGGGACGCTCTCGGGCCACTCACCAACACAGTGATTATCCCTCACTCCGGATGGGGTGCAGCACCTCAGCGAGAGGACCAGAAGCTCAAACTGCACTCCTCTCTGGTGCTGAGGAACACCACAGGATGCCTCCGGTACGTCACATGCTTGTTTCCTCTAATAATCGCTCAGGCTAATTATACCGAGCTTCCTGTTCAGGCTGATTAATCAATAATCAATCAGTTTCCTGCTGAGTGCTGACCCGTCACTTTTTTGCACTCTTTGTTTAATAAATCATTTTTGTGAAGAGGCTCATGTGATGAGTGTCTGCATGTGTCTCAGGAACCTGAGCTCAGCCGGAGAAGAGGCCAGGAGGCAGATGCGTAGCTGCGAGGGTCTGATTGATTCCCTCCTCTATATCATCAAAACATGTGTAAACACCTCTGATTACGACAGCAAGGTAAGAGACGCTCTCGTGATTGCATACACGGTGCATCTTAAATCAAAC